CCAAATTGCTAGCTTGAAGGAGTGTTTCGCGTGGATAGAAGAGTGCAATGAATTAATTAAACAGCTTGAAGAATGCAATCATGTCAAGCGTCCACGGCTCTCCATTGGATGCAGACAATCTCTAATCGCTACAATTGCACGACTCGAGTGGTGATTACGCAAGCACTAGCAATAACAGTGACAATAACGCGGAAATATCTTTTGTTTGGCGAGAGATCAATGCGGCGTTTGAAAATCGAATTTTAACCGGTGCGGTAATTAACGCGAACTATATCGAGCCGCGACGATTTTTAGAAGACATCAGCAGTGTAGTGCTCGAGCTAGTGCAAGACACAATAGAAAGACACAATTCCGTAAAAGTGAACACCATATTAAACGGCGAATTTATGACAGGTGATAAACGTGCCAATAAAAGTATTAATACTAAAAACTATGAACTTTTCCGAACATCGAATTTGCGTGAATGGTACGAGCGGCACGTCATCGAACCCACGTTGGCATTTCTCGAGGAATTTTAAGAACGTGACAGTGGGTGGGCGTTGTCGCGAATCATGAATCTTACAGTAAACATCAATAAGTATAATCCATTGCGCGCAGGATGTCGCTTCGAAGTGCCGCGAGAGATAATGACAAAGAGAGCGGTGATTAACGTACGCTCGATGGACAATCCATGCTTCGCATGGTCGGTGGTCGCCGCTCTGTACCCAGCCGAAAGAAACGCGGATCGCGAATCTTCCTACCCACACTATACGACGGTGCTGAATTTCCAAAATATAGAATTTCCTATAACGTTAAAAGACATAACAAAATTTGAACGTCTCAACGACGTGTCCATTAACGTATACATTATCGAGGGACAAAAAACGCTAAACATTCTCCCGATACAACTCGCTGACGACAAAAAGGAGAAACATGTTAATTTACTATATTTGCGAGATCCGCGAGACGACAATGTGGGCCATTTCGCATGGATCAAGAATATTTTTCGGTTCATGAGCTCGCAATTGAATAAACATAACGGCCAAAAGTACATTTGCGATCGATAAGTATGAAACAACCTAACTCCCGTTGCTTGTACGTAGCTTGTCGGTGATTGCGGTCGGAAACGCGAAAGGTTCGTATCGGAGAAGGAAGGCACTTACAATAATATTACGCGTGCAGGTAATTCCGCAGTGAACATTTATTTAAGCAAATAGTAACGGACATGTACAAGATACGTGTAATTAGGCAATTATAAAAGAGTAAATCATTAACGCTACAGAAATTAACGCAAAACGATATATAATACACGCGGCTGGACTTTAAACGCTACACAGAAATTAACGCAAAACGATATATAATACACGCGGCTGGACTTTAAACGCTACACAGAAATTAACGCAAAACGATATATAATACACGCGGCTAGAAGATACACGAAATGCAGTAATAGCGCGAATCGGACTAGAATACAGGCGTTCGGAATATGGATGCAACGCGAGGATAGCGCGCGCTTGGCTGATTTTGGGTCCGTGCGGTGTCGCGCCCTAGTTATCTCACGGCGGAGCGCGGCCAGAATTCGAAACTTGAAAGCTCGGCCGGCCGTCAGGAACTCCTGACCAGAGGCGGAGAACTCTCCACCCCTGTTGTCTTGGTCGGTCGAAACCAGGATAGATACGGATGCGCGCGTCGGTCGCTCGGACGTCCGGGAACGCCCGGAGGGAGGCAGAGAACCTCTC